GGGGAAAGCTAATTCCTCCAATACCTGCTCCAGATAGCACCATTCAACTCTGTCATAATCTTTTTGAAGGTCAATTTTGATCATACACCTAGGAGACATATGCTTTCTATTGTAAGCCTGAACTAGCTCATGAGACAATATGATGTTATCACCTTTTTTCTCCCTGGTATAAAGCCTTCCCGTGCTTCAAAAATAATATCAGGCATCACTTTTTGCTATCTTGATGCTAAAACTTTTGATATAATTTTAAAGAAGACAGTGCAGTCGTCAATTGGCCTATATTCTTTTACTGTGAAGGGATTCTCATATTTAGATATCAATGTGAGGGCAGTACAGTTAAGTGCTCTGTATAGCTTCCCTATTGTGAAGAAAGCTAAAACAGCCTGGTTTATCTATTCCTTAACTATGTGTCATTTCTTCTTGAAAAAGACTGCATTGTACCCATCAACTCCAGGTGCCTTGTCATCTCCAATCGAGCATAAGTTGTCATAAAGTTTAGTAGTTGTAACTTCTTTGCACAATGCCAATTGTTGTTCATGAGTCAACTTTGGTCCTTATTGCATGATCAACCTGTTGATAGCAGGTAGCTCCTTGGCTGATATCTCCATTAGGCTTCTATAAAAGGTGATAATTTCATCACTAATAGCCTTTGGGTCAGTGATCTTATTTCCTGTAAGTGTGTTGAGCTCCACTATTTGTTTTCTGACTATTTTCTCCTTGATTACTGCGGTGAAATACTTAGTATTAACATCACCCCATTTGATCCATCTAATTCTAGATTTCCGTCTCATCACACTTTCCTCTATTGAGGACCATTTTTTCAAATCTTGAGCTGTTTCTTTTTCTTCTATCACCAGGGAATCTGTATACTGTTTGGGCTTGTTGTTCTTGTATACTTCTCAGTTGTTGTCTAGTAACCTCAACCTTCTAAGTGATGTAGCTAAACTCCTCTTCATTGAGCTTCTTGCATAGAAATTTTAAGGCCTTCGGCTTCATCCATATATTCTTCATAGGGTTGTTATCAATTTATTTTTGCCACACCTCCTTGACAAGTGACTCAAACTGGCTATGTTCAGTCCAAATATTGAAGAATCTGAAAGGAGTCTTGGGGTGATTTGGTTATAGATTTCAAGTGGATTAATATTGGAAAATGATCTGAAATAAATGGAACATCATATTCCACTTTAATGTGGCCCCATCATAGCATCCAATCTCCATTACCCAAGGCTCTATCAATTCTACCATACACTTTATCATGACTCAGTTGTTTATTAGACCAGGTGTAGTACTGACCACTCCAATGTAGCTCATTTAGTCCTAAATTGAGTATACAATCTTCAAAATCTTTGGTCTCAGAAACACTGATGAGGTTTCCTCCTACTATATCTATGGGGTAGAGTATAACATTAAAGTCTCCACTCACCAACCAAAGGAGGTTGATCCAAGGCTCTATTGTATTCAATGCAGTCCATAAGGATAGTCTTTTTTCCACAGTGTCAAACCCATAAGTGATTATCACCAGTTGCTCAATTGTAGAAATTCCATATGTAACTTTGTAGTGAACCAGCTGGGCCGTAACTAGTAACACGTTCACAGAGAACCTTTCTCATCCCATATTCTATCATTAAGTGCCTCTTGATAGTTATTATAGAATTCCCAACTAGGGGCTATGCTGTTAAGAATCTTCTATGCATTATGTTGCTTAACTCATGTCTCCACTAATCTTGCTAAGTAGATTTTGGTATTTTTGAGGTAATTTCCGAACTCCTTTTGTTTGTACCTCCTATTAATGCCTCTCACATTCCATATGCACCAGGTCATTGAGAGGTACTTGCCTTTCCCCCTTTATCTAGAGCCATGGTGTTATCGTGGGCTTTTGGAGGTAACCGGACCAGGACCGGGACCACAAAGTAATGGTCCCGGGCTAAGTGGGCTGGTCCTGAGCCTAAGTGGGCCTGGCCTATTTTTTTTTAAAACTTTTTATCTAAGGCAATTTCTTATAAATTATATATATATATATATATGGGCCTAAGCAGGCCTGACTTTTTTTTAAAATTTTTTTATCTAAGGAAATTTCTTGTAAATTATATTATATACTTGTGACTTAAATTTTTTTAATTAAAATATATTGCCTTAGATAATTTACAAGAAATTGCCTTATATAGTATATTGCCTTATATAAGATGTGTATATAGTATAGTATTATAAATACTAAGTGTATAGTAATACAAATGTTTGGAGAATGCACAAGACAACTCTTTATATGCCTCCTTAAACAGCCTGTGCCCTCCAACTTTGGGCGATGAGTGTAGACTCGACCACAATTCTTGCACTTTATTATGTAAACTTCTTCTTTTCTTCTACCACATTAAAGTGTTCCAAAACAAATGGGCGCACTCTAGAATCACCGGGCATGATTTAACTTGAATTAAGAATTTGAGTTTGAGAAATGAGAGAAGAGTGAAGACTTGAAGGCTTGAATATTTCAATTTGAGTTTGAGAAATGAGAGAGATTGATGATTTTGTGAGAAAAATGAAAGACTGAGGGGGTATTTATAGTTGAAAATAGGGAAAAAGTATAATTATATAAAACAAAGTTAGGGGGGAGGGGAGGGTTAAATGGCTATTTTAGAAAGCCCAAACACTATTTTTGCAGGCCAACAACCATTTTTTAAATGCTGCAACGACTAAAAAATAATTTGGATTTTTTTTATTTTTAAAAAAATAGCCGTTGGGCCTGTTTGAGCCAGGCTAGGACCGGTTGAACCGACCCACTTAGCACCCGGTCCCAGGCCTAACATGCTTCTTCAAGGAGCCGGTCCACCTCCTCTGGTCCCGACTTAAATGGTTAGGCCCGCTTAGGCCCACTACCCATATGGGCTCGCGGGCCTGGGTCGGGCCTAATCGGCCCACATGCCAGCCTTAGTCTAGGTATTTACATCTTTAAGGATAGCAAGATGCTGAGTATGCACCTTTGTTTGCACATCATTGCCTTGTATGCCTTGATCTTGCTTCTGTTGCATCTGCCCATTGCCTTTGATAGGTTTGCCCCTTGAATTCTTAGTTCTCCATACTTGTTACACTCTTTTTGGGTCTCTCTTTTGTCTCTAAACTTCTGGATGTTGCAGGCCAGGTTGTGGTTGGACTTTACATGAGTGACCTACTTGGAGGCATTGGTCACAAAATGCAGGTTTCCAATCATAAGTAACGTTGTGCTGAAAAACCTCCCTGTTGATTCCATCACAACAACTTCTTCATAGAGTGCCTTAGTTGCATTCACCTCTATCAACATCCTAGCAAATGAAATCCGAGATTTTTTTGAGGTGCATTCATCTGCAAATATTGGTGTATCAATGAGACTTGCAATTCTACTAAGAGAATCACTACTCCAGCATCACATAGAAAGGTTTGGAAACTTGATCCATAAAGGAATGTTTGTGAGGAATTCTTTTTCAAAATCAAAGTTCTGTGTCCAAACCTTCAGAATCAAAGGTCTGTGGCTTATAGTGTAAGTTCCTGCATAGAAGATTTACTTCATGTCCTCTACACTTTGAAATTTTACCACATAGTAGTCCTCCTTATGCAGAAACAGATCCGGGACAACTATACTTGCCCAAGTTTTCCCTATGTATCGACTCATCACATTGAAACCAGGTACCTCTCCTATTACATAGACAATAAGCGCACTCTTCCACTTCTCAGCCTCCGTATCTACTTCAGATTTAACTAGTTGAGTCATGGGTTGACCATTCACTATTTGTGGTGGAATGTAGGGGAGAGACATAACATTAGTTGCTCATCCGTTTTTAGCAAATAGGCTTGTCCATGGTACCTTCATTGGGGCACTGTAGGATTTATGCTTGTGCTTTCCAGATCCATGACCTTCTCGCTTAGGTTCTTCAAAATTGGTCGCTTCAGAGTTGAATCCTCCTTCAGGATCTCCACTGGTGAACTCACTCCCCCTGGGGTTACTGTTCCGTTGGATTTCTCCATTAGAGTTACAGTACTCAAGCCCAATCCCTTTGGTGTTGTTGCTGGATTTTCATTTATGTCTAATTGTGTGCTGATTTCACTATCGAAGCTCGTCCAATGCTTGTATGGTTAGGATTGTTTTCCTCTGTACTTTGAGCGTTTGTTTTGGATGCATCTGGCTGCATCCTTGCACCAATTGCCTCCAAACGAAACAATTGGTACTGATTTTGGTCGTCCCCTTCCCCTTCCTCTGCCTCGTCCAGGCCACATGGTGTTCACAGTGGCGTAGGTTAATTACCGTGCGCCGAGAGTATGGTGTGAGAAAGAGAGTTTATTCTCTAACGTGGTATGTATATAAAAGTATAGTAGTTTTTATGAAATATTAAACATGGAATAAAAAAATATATTTGTGTTACTTCCTCAAACATGAAAAATACTTTTTTAAAATTTAAACAATTTCGTATAATTCTAAAATTAAATATTATTATGAACAAATGATAGATTTAGTAAAAATTAATTGCTTAAACAAGTTATCATTGGAAGTGCATATTTCGTAATTTATGATTTGTTACATGCATTGCTAATTCGTATATTATCATTTCACATATGAAATAATATGTCAATTACTTAAATCTGATACAAGAATTATTAATAAGGAGATTAGAAATAACAACCCGTTATTATTAGAGAAAATACATAATCTAGTTCACTCATTATTAGAAAATACATAATCTAGTTCACTCATTAATTTCAATATAAAATATTTAGCAAACGAACCTAACTTAGTTTTTTTGTTAAATATTTTCCAAATTGATGTAGGAGAATGGTAGGACAATAGCGTCCCACTTCTATTAGAAATAAAAGAAAAAAGAAAAAAGAAAGTTCCACTCTTAAACCAAGGACCTAATTGAGCAAACAAAAAACTTTAGGGACTAAGATGCATTATTCGTTCCTGAAGCAACAAATCAACTGGGCCCTAGTATTTGAAGCCAAAACCCCAAAAACCTACGCTCACATCACCTCTACCACCAGCTTCCTAGTTTCGCTGGCTGGTTTATACACATTGCAACAATTTCTACAAATATCATTGGAAAAACCCTTTTGCTGAATCATAATTTCTTGCAATATAAGGCCCTTTATATCTCCTGGGAATTTTTTCTTAATCTCTGGTAATTCTCTGATACATAGAAATGCCAGCTTTATAATTTTTTCATATGATTCAGACCCATAAAATCGCAATAGAATGTGTTGCTAAGAACCAAGAACCATCTGGGTGTTAGTTAGTTCTTTTGTTGGTCTTGAGGTTTCTCATTGTATTAGTTTGAATCCATAATTTGTTTTTCTTGGCTTAGTTGTTTGATGAAAATGGAACATGGTTTCTGATGATTTTGATGGTTAATGATGTTGGGGTTCTTCATTCTCGAAATGGGCATTCAACATTTTGCTAATATATTGAACTGAAGGTTAGTGGTATTTTGTGATATTGCTTATATTGAATTGAACATTAGTGGTATTTGAGACATTGCTTATATATTGAAGTGAAGATTAGTGGTATTTTGAGATATTGCTTGTGTATTGAACTGAAGACTAGTGGTACTGTGAGATATCGTTAATTTATTGAAGTGAAGATTAGTGGTATTTTGAGATATTGCTTGTGTATTGAACTGAAGACTAGTGGTACTGTGAGATATCGTTAATTTATTGAAGTGAAGATTAGTGGTATTTCGAGATATTGCTTATGTGTTGAACTGAAGATTAGTTGGTATTCAAGATTTTGCATTTCTACTGAAGTGAGGCTTAGTGGTATTTTGAGATATTGCTTGTGTATTGAACTGAATATTAGAGGGTACTCAAGATTTTGTTAATATTGAATGAAAGATTAGTTCTTGGTTGGTGTATATGTTTGAAATTGAGGGAGAGAGCATCAGAACATGCTCGCTCTGCGCCTGGTTCGCAGATTTGGAACTGCGAGTCACATTGCTGCTGCCACAGCTATTGCTTCCTCAGGTGCTGCTGGTAAGAATTCCAGTAAAGGTTTAGTATCTAAAAGAAAGCCGTTAAAAGTAGATGAACCTGCACTTATTAAGCTAAAAAGGGAAAGGAACCCTGAGAAGTTGTTTCAGTTATTTAAGGAGAATGCTCATAATAAGGTTGTTGTTGAGAACCGCTTTGTGTTTGAAGACACGGTTTCTCGCTTAGCAGGTGCGGGCAGGTTTGATTATATTGAAAATCTGCTTGAGCATCAGAAGACTCTGCCGCAAGGTCGGCGTGAAGGTTTCATTATTCGGCTTATAATGCTCTACGGGAAGGCTGGGATGACACAGCATGCTGTAAATACCTTCTATGATATGCATTTATATGGTTGTCCGCGGACTATTAAGTCATTCAACGCTGCACTCAAGGTTTTGACTCAATCTCGTGATTTGAAGGCGATTGAGTCATTCCTGTGGGATGTTCCTGAGAAGTTCTCCATCAATATAGATATACTTTCAGTAAATACAGTCATTAGCTCATTTTGTGAAATGGGTATCTTGGAGAAGGCTTATTTGGTCATGGTTGAGATGGAAAAGTTAGGTATAACACCTGATGTTTTTACATATACGACACTTATATCTGCCTTTTATAAAGTCAACAGATGGCAGATTGGTGATGGATTGTGGAACCTCATGGTCGGTAAGGGATGTATGCCTAATGTTGCTACCTTTAACGTTAGAATTCAATTCTTAGTAAATGTGGGGCTTGCTTGGGAAGCTAATAAATTGTTGCTGTTAATGAAACATATTGGGATAACTCCTGATGAGGTTACGTACAATTTAGTGATCAAAGGCTTTTGCCGAGCAGAGAATCTTGATATGGCAAAAAGAATCTATTCTGCCTTACGTGGTGCAGGCTTCAAGCCAAATGCTAAAATCTATCAGACAATGATTCATTACCTGTCTAGAGCTGGTGAGTTTGATTTGGCATATTCAATGTGTAGAGATAGCATGCAAAAGAATTGGTTTCCAAGTCTTGATAGTATTAAAAAGTTACTTGAAGGGCTGTGCAAAGATGGAACGGAGGAAAAGATGGGAAAGGCTCGATTTTTAATCATCCTGGCTAAGAAAAAGATACCTCCTTTCTCATCAGACGCTTTGAATGTGATGCAGTCAATAATAGCTTGTAGTTAAAAGTACAGAAACGTTAATTTCTGCTCACTGGTTTAGCTGATTTTGCAGCAACTTGTATAATCCACAAAGCTCCATTCTCTTTTTGGTGAAGCAGAAGTGATGAGCTATTAGTTCTATGGATTATGAGCCTCTAAAAAGAAGATAAGTTGTAATTTATCAAGAAATAAGTTCCTACTCTTTCCAGAAAGTGCAATGGGGACTGAAAGATGTTTGGAAGTACACTGGCAACCTAATTTGTTTGGTAAGTTTGTCTTCCATTTTTTTGTGACTCCCCCTTCCATTTTATGTTACTTCTGCTTCAGTGTATTGCTATTGTTGATTTGTTTCTGCATATTTCCCTTCTTGATTCCTGCATCTCTTGTTCTAAATTGCTGGCTACTGGAAACAACCTCTCTGCATGCACAAGGTGGGGGTAAGGTTTGTGTATACTATCTTTCCCAGATCCCACAATGTGGGATTACGCTGGGTATGTTGTTGTTGTGCTGCTTATATAGAAACCCCTTCTGGCAGAAGTATTCATTTATATGTTTGTGTTTGTATTTCTTTTACTTTTTCAAGCTCAGACATTAAGTTGCTGTGTTTGAAGGAAGTGAGATGTTTCTTAGAAATTTCTATTTTTCTTGCGTTCAGATTTCTTGGTGTATTTGGGATGTTAAGGGTATGCAGCAGTTTCTCCGTTATCATCTCTCGACAACCACTGCAGTATGATATAGTTGATTAATTATTTATCTTCACTTGTCTCTATACTTGGGAGCGAGTGTTGTATCCCACTAGATTGTTGTGGTCCAGTTAAAACACTTGTATTACTTGATAATGGAGAAATGGAAAGAATATATCTCTCTCCGTGTACCTTTGACATGTGTACATTATACACTCGTTTAAATATCAGGCTGACACTGGCAATAACAATTAATCAGACGATTAATAATCTTAGGGAATGCCACAAAAAAGTTGACCATCTGATATAATTCACCAAATTATCATGCGTGCTGATACAATTAAACTTTCAAGTTGACTCTTACCATAGCCTTTTCCTGCAAGGCAGCTAGTCAACATGTTACTACCGTAATATGGGTATTAGATGCCTAGATGGACATCTAATGCTATGGTTTGTTGTTGGATATTAGGATGTTTGACGTGGAGCTGTTTTGCTTTCCATTCAGAAATGATTGTCTCTTCTCTTTTTTTTGTTGACAAAGTTCCTTCCAAATGAGAAAGTTTCTTAACAATTTTTCCTTCAATTCCCCCATCTTTTAGCATTCTTTTCTCGTTTTCTTTACTGAACTTCATTAATTAGAAGACATTGTCAAGCCTAGTAGTCTTCCCATGGCCAATATAGTAATGATTGGCTTCTAATTTTTGAACTGCAGGAGAATAATCCAGTGTTCTCATGCGCCTCACCAAAGGATATACCGTTACAATGTATCAATTTGCTTGTGAGTTTGAGCTGGTTGCCTTCAAGGTACTTATACTTCAGCTATTTGGTAAAATTTAGTTCTTTTTATAGAAATAAACAACAACAACAACGACCCAGTATATAGAAATAAACAAGTAAGTGGTATTTAGTTTTCTTTCCCTTTTTTCTTCCCAAGAGAAGCTTGCTGCAACTACATAGTTTTAGAAAAAGAGGAAGCTGGAGGACGGGAGTCTCGATCTCTGCTTCAATGTAGAACTCCCTTTTCTTTCATAGGTTCCCCTATCTTCTCTGAGTGTCCCAGTTGTGCGTAGCTGATTTAAAACACTGAACATGATTTGATAAACAAGATTCCGACCTTCTGTTTTTACACTGTAACATCACCTCCCAAATATGGGCAATGTTCTTCTATATTTTGAACCTCAGCTGGACATTGCCTCTTTCTCCTCTTGCTTTGCTGCAATGCTGGAACATAAAATTATTTTATAAAGACCGACAAATAATTTTTCACTTAAAAAACACTTACAATTTCAGAAAGAACTACGACTATCTATACAGTTTTTCTTCTGTACAAACTTTTTCTCCAAAAAAAATTTCCCCCAAATTCTTTTTCCTGAAATTAGCTGACCCCGACTAGCTTAGGATTGAGTTATAGCTGTAGTTGATGTAACTTCTTTTATTCTCTCTATCTTTCCTCTCTGTTTTCTCTGGCCTGTCTCATTTTTCTCTTCGATTGTTCTTATGGAGTGGTTATAAAAATACGTAATCCCTATCATCTCTCTTCCTCTCCCGTTCTGTTACAAGTTAAAACTTATAGTACTTCTTTGAAGAATGTTTATCGATGCTATTTCCTTCTTTCAGAAAACCGTGAATTCTGAAATTGAAGAGAGGGTTTTCATCGACTTCAATTGATCCAACACGGGTCACTCCAATTTCATGCTTATTTAGGATCTTTGGTAAATCATAAGAGGAGGGCAACCTTCAAAAGCTTTTGTGGATGTATGATGAATAATGAACATGTACATAACTATGCAAGGACATCCTATTACCAGGTATTTCTTTTTGCTTTTACTTTTTTGGATAAGTTCTTTTACCAGGTATCTTCAGGGCTTTCAATATGATTTTTCGGTCATTTACTGGCCAAAAAGAACTGAAAAGCAAAAGAAAAAATAAAAAGAAGAAAAGAAACGAGAAAGGTTTGTGATGCCATTCTTGAAAATAAAATTTACATAATTATAAACTAGATAAAAAGTATTGTTAGTTACAGTTTTTTAACATTGAAAATATTTAAAAAAATATTTGATTTTTTTTTGGGTCAAATAGAAGTTGCACTCTCCGAATAGTAACAGTGTCATATAAAGTAGGAGGGAATAGTATTTTTCTTGGTCTAGCTTGCAGGACTTTGATCTAGTGGTAAGAGCACAATGTGTGATGTGTGGGTTTAGGTTAGACATACTTCATGTCGGGTTCAAACCCTACAAAGTCCTGGTATTTAATTGGAGAAGAATAGAGAGACGGACTCATTATGTACCGAGTTTTGATGTGTATGCTAACGACCCTAGTGGATTTCTCAGTTATATTTCTTTTATTAATTTGCTATTTTAGAATTATACTATCGCATAGAAAGAGGTTGTTTACTTATAAGCGGAACAACGAATCTCGTATACTCCTATGCTAAAATTGAATACCCTAAATTCCTCTCTAGTTTATCCGCAAGTTATACCCAAATTCCTTAGGAGCAAAGATTTGAAATATTACATAACTGAATAAGTGATATGTGACAATTTTACACATCTCAAAGTAACAGTTTCTCTTTTCCATTGCTGGTTTCTCTTTTCCTCTGTTCCGTTACTGAGAAACCAAAATGAATATGTTGCCTACAAAATCCTAGAAATATATCTGAACTCCTTTTACTATAACGTAAAGTAAATCTAACAAAAATTATATTTTGCTGTACTGATAAAAAAGAATCTAACATCAGAATTCGAGATAAAGAGAGTAGCTATATGCTGTTCTGCCTAACATTTGAATGAAATTGCCCCATTTTGCAGTTAAATACATCAACTTGGCAATGCAAAATATAGAAATTTCCCTCTGTGCTTCAGCGATAAACAGCGAGAAGCACGTTAAATGGAGTAGTTTCAGGTATTTGTGAAGCTCACAGCGTCTGAGTATAGAACCAGCAGTCTCCACCTCTTGAAAGATGAGGAAAGCGACTGATTCACAAAGGAGTTTTTGCTGACAGATGATGCCATATCGTGCTCGTTCGTTTCAGTCTGCTATCAATCCATTTGATCAAACAAATAGAAACAGTCAAGTGATGCTTCTCTATTGCTGTGCTTGGCCGGCACTATGGATAACTTCTGGAGCATGGGCCTCAGTCTTCTCTAACGGTTTATGAAGAAACATATGGCATTTTCAGTTCAATGTGCACAACTGTGTGAATCTGCCAGCGCGTTAACATTGCTAGTTCAGCATCGTAGAGAACCTTTAGTTATCAGGGGTTTTGAATTATACTATTTTGCAGNGGGGTGGGTTCCACTAGGAAAGCGCTTCTTGCTCTCCAATTCCTATTCTTTGTTATTAGTATTGAATTTATTTGTTCCAAACGCGAGAGTCATTCTTTTGATTTAGTAGAGCGAGAGTCCTCCTTTCGATTTAGTAGAGCGATGAACCCTTTTGCGGGAGTATACTGCGGTCATTTTTTTGGTTTGAAATAATAAAAGTAGTAGTAGTAGTTCATTGGAGAGCGAGCATTCAGCTCTCTTGTTGTTTTATTGTTGTTATCGGGATAACCTATTTCACCAATTGCACCATTATACTTTGTGGAGGTTCTATGACCCCTTGTCATTGTTTGAACCGTAATAAATAACGCCCTCTGAGTCTATGTGGCATACAGAGTGTATCTCACTGGCATAAAAACGTTAAAATTTTACTTTTTTAAATTTTATTGTGGTTAACTGTATTTTCCTAATCTTTTTTTTTTCCATCTTTTTCTTTTCTTTCTTCAACTGTTGCCAAGGGAGCCATTAATGAAGTAAAAAAGCTCAAAAAGAGGGATTTCAATGACTTGTAAAATTTTATTTTTCTCTTTGGAAATCATATTTAGAGAAATTCTTTTTCTGATATTTTATTTGTTAATCACACAAAAAGAGTAGTAATATTTTTTTTAGGAAGGTTAATGTAAGCTGCGTGTCGTCCTTGGGGGATTGTCCGCTAGTCAATACATTGCCATTCAAATTACAGTGTCATTAGTCAATTCTAAGTGATCCAATATTACAGTTTGAATATTTGAGTTTTTCGATTGGCTCCTCGTATGGTCGTCTTATCAGTCTGTCTTTTTTTTCCTCAACCTTTTTGTGTTTTTTGATGGACACCTTGATCTTCCTTAAACTATCAGTGCAACTCTTGGACATCGTTGTTACTGTATTCATGTTCTTGCATTGGAAACATGACCATCTTCTTGAAACTCTATTTTTCTGTTGTTACACTAGAGTTGGGTTTGTTTTTCTTAATCTTGAAAAATATGAATCTTCTCTTGAACAATTGCTTCCACAACTGCTCCACTTCTTTTTTTCTTTTTTTGGTAATTAAACATTTTTCATTAATCACCAATGTAACTTTACAAAACCACAGTTGGCTTTAACACAGCCTCCTGTCTCACCTATTCTTCCTATCTAACTATACAAATATCAAGGTTAAACTCAACTCCTGTATGCTATTCTACCTTTCATTCAAAATCTAAGTTGCTGCATGAGGATTCTAGTTTGAGTTGTCGCTCTTACATTGTAAACACATGCAACATTTCTAGCTAATTCTTTAGCTTACCTGCTTTGCTTCTCAAATACCCTGAGGTTTCTCTCATTCCAGATCGTATGTATTGCCTCTGCATATATCATTTTGAAAACTGCTGCGCTGCTTGATTTTTCTTTGGCATTCTCTATTGCCCATTTCCAGTGCTGGTCCCATGAGGTTGCCCAGAAAGTTTGTCTTTGCATCCATTTTAACAATCTCTTCCATATACTCCTAGCAAACTCGCATTCAACAAACATATGATTCCTGCTCTCATCACAGGATTGGCATAGTACACATTTAGTATCCACATGCATCCCCCATCAAGCCAATCTATCACTGGTCATCATCCTGTCTTGAAAGTATAGCCACATTGTGAACTTAGCCTTTGCCCTTGTATCATCCCCAAACATGAACACCTTCCATTCCACTCTTGGCAATTGGCCCACCATTTTGTAGTATATTTGTCTAATAATGCTCCTGTTATTCTATGTCTGAATTTGAATTGCTTCCACTAAACTCCTTGCCTCCACCACCTTCCTGACTAGCCAAGAAGCTTGCTGTGGTATTGGCATGTCAGAGATTTGTTATCCTTTTATGTAATAAGCATGTATCCATTTGATCCACATTTTGTCACCTTGTTTGCAAGATCCCAATAGTTCTTTGTTGCTGCTGCTCTGATCCAAACTTTGAGATTGACTAAGTTTAGTCCACCTGCACTCTTAGGTGTATATATTTTATCCCAAGCCACTAAAGATCTTCTTGTGATGACATTTTCTCCTGACCATACATAGCTCCTGCAATATGCTTCAATTGTCTTCGGTACTTTGCTAGGAATCAGGAATAACTGTGACCAATAAGCTTGGATGCCAAATAGGACAGATTGAACTAACTGAATCCGGCCAGCACAGGAAAGCTTTTTTGCAGTCCATGATGAGATTCTGGCCACCATTTTCTCAAAGGGAGGCTGCCATTGAGCTATGGACATCTTTTTGGTGGACAATGGGACTCCCAAGTACTTGACTGGTAATTCTCCTCTAGGATATCCAAATTTCTGCACTATCTCTTCACTTGCCAAATGTGTTACTCCTCCAAAGAAAATTGAGCTCTTTTCCTGGTTAGCTCTCAATCCTGATGCCCCATAGAAATGGTTGAGGCATTATTGTAGATGGGTAATTGAAGTCACATCTCCCCTTGCAAAGAGTAGCAAATTATCTGCAAAGCTCAGATGAGTTATTCCCATTTTTGAACACCTGGGATGATATTTGAAACCCATTTCCTTTTTCAATCCATTCAGGCATCTACTCAAGTATTCCATAGCAATTGCAAATAGGAAAGGGGACATAGGATCTCCCTGCCTCAGTCCCTTAGCAGCTGGGAATGGTTCTGAAGGTTCTCCATTAATAATTATAGAGTAGCTTATAATTTTGACACAAGCAAGCACCCACTGTAGAAATCTGTTTGGGGAATCCCAGCTCAGCCATCACCTGTTCTAAGAAGATCCATTCCACAGAATCATATGCTTTGTTAAGTCAATCTTGATCATACACCTAGGAGAGGAGTTCTTCCTTATGTATGCCTTAACAAGCTCATATGATAGGATTATGTTGTCTGATATTTTCCTTCCTGGAATGAATCCTGCTTGAGCTTCACTTATCACACTAGCAATTACTTTCTGCAATCTATTTGCTAGTATTTTAGAAATGATCTTATATAAGACAGTGCAACGTGCAATAGGCCTGAATTCCTTTGTTGTAGTTGGGCTACTCACTTTAGGCACAAGTGTAATTGCAGTCCAATTTATGGCTTTGTAAATCTTGTCAGTAATGAAAAATTCCTGAACTGCCTGCACGACCTCCTGCTTCACTATAGGCCAAACTTTTCTAAAAAAACAATGAATTGTAGCCATCAATCCCCCCTTTCCATGGAAGCTCATTCAAAAGGAGATTATGTATGCAGTCTGAAAAGTCGGCCATTTCACTTATTGTGACTGGATTACCACATTCTGTCTTGTGTGTACAACATGGCATTAAAGTCTCCACCTATTATCCAAGGCTTTGTCATTTGTACGGAGATATCATTCAAGCTTCTCCATAAAGTCTTCCTTTGTTCTACTGTATTAAAGCCATATATCAATGTAAGGCATGTTTTAAATCCATCCAACCTTCCTCTTACTATGCAATGGATTAACTGAGATTCTACCCTTTCAATACCTATATTGTATACCTTAGGGTCCCAAGTAAGCCATATTCTTCCATTTACAGCACTCTAATAGTTGCACTGTAGTGCCTAACCTGGTAATATATTTTTGAACACCCTATTGGCTCTACTCTCTTTCACTCTAGTTTCCAGAAAACCAGCTAGTTTTATGTGTTTATTCTGTAAGTATACCCTTAACTCCTTTTGTTTATATCTCTTATTTATTCCTCGAACATTCCACACTACCCAAGTCATTGTGCTAAGATAGGAGGCCCACTACCTGCTGCAGGCAAGAATTTCTGAGTCCCATTACCACCTGGGTTCCCCATTGTTTTATTCCCTTTCTGCACACTAGTAGCCAAAGTTGGAAATTCCCTGATACAGCTCAGCTCAGGGCTTTTTTGAGGAGTCTGCTCCACCTTGTGATTGTTCCTCATCATTGCTTGATCTTCACATCTTGCTGGAGGGTGCTGTTCCTGTTCAAGGCATTGTTTATCATGTAACTATGCTATTGGTTGTTCTGTTCCTGCTAATACAGCAGGCAGATCCTTCACCTCTATAGGCTTCTTTGCTCTCCACTCCTGCATCACTTTGTCCACTGGTTGAGGCACTGCTTGTGGGGCTGTTATTGCATTAGTAACTGGTCTCCTTCTCCTTCTAGGCTGCTCAAATTGTTGCTGTTCAGTCTCAACTTTCTTGCACGAGTGTCCAATTTTCAAGCATTCTTCACAAAATTCTGGTTTCCAGTCATACTCTATTGCTTGTTCAAACTGTTTCCCATCAGGTTCCCACACTGTAACACACGTTGGGAGTGGTCTAGTGACATTGATCTCAATTAGCATACGAGCATATGAAATCCGCTTCTGCTTGGATGTACACTCATCTGCATACAATGGTTTGCCAATTGCACTTGCAATTCTACTCAATGACTGAACATCCCAGCAACTCATAGGGAGATTTGGCAGTACCACCCAAAGGGGAATTTTAGTGAGAAATTCCTTAGTAAAATCAAAATTGACAGTCCATAAGAGGCTTATTATTCATTGTATATGGTCCTGAGTATATGATTTCATGCATTTCATTTACAGATTGGAACTTAATAACATAGTATCCTTCTTCATGGTAGAATACCTCTGATTGCGACTTGATTCCAGCTCTGCCTTACAAATCTGTGCATATAGTTGTATCCTGGAGTGTCCCCAATTACATAAAAAATTAAGGCACTTCTCCATTTCATTATTTCCTTCTCAACATCCTCTTTTTCTAGTTGTACGACTGTTTTCCCATCAACAATTTGAGGTGGAATGTAAGTTAGCTTCAAACCGTTTTCAGAGCTGCGATTATCTGCAAACAATGAAGTCCACGTTGCTGTTTTCCCTTTCTCCTCACTGGTGCTAGATCTGATGCCGTCTTGCTTGAACTCGCTAGATCTTCAGGTTTCTCGGTCGATTTGTCACTTTGGCCGCTTAGAATTGGACTAATACTTAGATCCAATCTCTTAGCTGGCCCTTGCTTCATCCCTTCATTTGC